TAATATTTTTACGTCATTCATAAGCAATTTCACAAAAGATTGTGTTGAAGCGAATATTTTTTTGATTCATGTCTGTTTTTATAGTGTTTTCTTGTTGATATGAGCTAGGTTAAACGGTAAACGGTTTCTAGGTTATGTTATTAATTTTGGTTTTTAACTTTGTACACCCCGCTGCCTAACTCGTACCTGCATAAACTTCCTTATTCGTACCGGTACGACTTAGGCGTTACAGAGATATTTTTTGCTAATTTCAATTTTTTCTTTTAGGTGATCAATATGGCAAAGAAAATTTATAACTCTTGGAAGCAAGATGACATGGATGAGGCTCTGCAGCAACATCGTGATGGTAAATTGGGATTCAATGAAGCATGTAGATTATATTCTATACCTAAACCTACTTTCCGACGTCATTTAAGGGGTTTAAATAAAACGAGTAAATTCGGCAGACCAAATGATATGACAACAGAAATGGAAAACGAATTAGCGCAGCATATACTTAACATGGAGTCTGCGTTCTTTGGATTAACTGTGACTAATGTCAGGAAACTTGCTTACCAATTTGCCGAAAAATATAAATTACCTCATCGCTTCAACAAGGAAAAGGAAATTGCCGGCAAGAAATGGTTTGCTAGGTTCATGAAGGAACATCCAATCTTATCGCTGCGTGTGCCAGAGCCGACATCCATGGCAAGAAGTAAGGGGTTCAATAAAGAGCGTGTAAATGAGTTCTTTGACAAATACGAACAAATATTGGAAAAACACATGTTTACTGCCGATAAAGTGTATAACGTCGATGAAACTGCCTTATCCACTGTACACAAACCTTCTAAAATCATTGCTCAAAAAGGTAAACACCAAGTTGGTGCACTCACAAGCGGAGAAAGAGGTCTGACCACTACATGTGTGTGTGCGATGAATGCTGCAGGAGAATACATACCGCCCATGTTGATTTACAAGCGCGTCAGGATGCTCGAAATGCTTAAAAGAGGCGCTCCACCGAATACATTGTTCGGTTGCTCGAAAAATGGGTGGATAACATCCGAACTGTTTGTGCAATGGCTGCAGCATTTTATAAAATGCACTAAACTGGAAAAGAGCGACCAAAAACAAATACTGCTGCTGCTGGATGGTCACAGCACGCACACGAAAAATCTGGAAGCCATTGAATTGGCCCGTGATTATGGTATAGTCATGCTGTCTTTTCCCGCACACACAACCCACCGCTTGCAGCCACTGGACAGATCGTTTTTCAAATCCCTGAAAAGCAACTACAATCAAGCAGCCTCGTCATGGCTGCGTTCAAACCCTGGGGCTGTGATAAAACAGGGAAATGTTGCAGAGCTGTTGGGTAAAGCGTACCCCAGATCAGTTCGTATGGACATTGCACAGAATGGGTTTAGAGCGACAGGCTTGTGGCCTAGTGACAGAAATATCTTCACAGAAGAAGACTTCATATCTTCTGTGCAAATCGATGACCAAGGACCATCTGCGGCCATAGATCCCGAGCCTCTAGCAAAATCTATAGCTACACCTGCGACGCGAGAAGCACCTGCAACGCCACCCATGTCTGGAATTTCAACGCCACTTGCAACTGATACGCGACCTGAGATTGGAATAACCCCAGCGATGGATAGGCCTACGTCATCTGCGTCTGAAATGACACCTCGGAGTGGTACTCCACCTGTGACTACAAAGCCTCCTGTGGCAAGGGCACCTACTACTGCTGCAAAATCACCCATGAGAGAATCTCCTCAACCAGGCTCTTCAAGGACTGATGACCCTACAAATAAAAAGCAAATAATGACTTGCTTGAATATAATATCTCCTATACCGAGCTTAACTAAAGTTGACCAAAAAATGAGGAAAGGAACAATAAGACCGTGGAATTGACTTCGTCCCCCTACAAAACGGAAATTGAAACCAAAGAAAAGACTAAGAAACTGAAGAGACCTATATTAAATTTGAAAAACATTAAGAAAGAAAAGGAACACAAGTCACTAATAAAAAAAGAAAGATAGACAGGAAATCTAACAAAGATAAGAAACTAGACGCTAAAGAAAATTGGTTGTGCAAACTATGTAACGAAGATCGCGAAGAAAATATGACCCAATGTATTAAATGCAAAGGATGGGTACATGATTTATGTGCAGATCTCGAAATTAAAACTAAAAATTACATTTGTGATATTTGCATTTAAAAAAATGATAGTTTTATTTCCTAAAGGTACTCATTATTACGAAATGAAACTAACGTTTTTTATTATTATTATTATAAGTAAGACTGAAATTGATCTCGTAGCATATAAGTCTACGCAGTTTTTAATTGTCCTTAGAATTCTAGTTGGAAAGATATATGTTTACTCTAAGTACGACTTAGGCCATGGGTGGTACGATTAAGGCAACCGGTTGCCTAAGTCGTACCGAAGGAAGGTTTTTGTAAAACCTATAAAAAACATTTTTTTAAACGATTTTTATATGTCTTATTAGTCTTTGTTGATTAGTTAATAAATGAAGAATTTATATATGCAAAGATTTTTCTTTTATTTATATTACCATAGAAATTATAGCTATTTTCCTTGAACTGGTACGACTAAGGCGACCTTACCCTACCCAGCTACACGGTTACACTCATGAATGTAGCTAGTAGGTCCGCCCCGTAATTGCTTTATTGCGGGAATAATATTATCAGAGCGAAGTTTTCGCTCTAATCTATAAACCAAAATCATTAAAATCGTTACATAGAAGATATAAGCCAACTTCAACCCATTCGTTTTTGTTGCCGTGCAGTAGACGACAATGGCTAATTTAAAAACATATTAGGTACCCAAATAAAATAATATCAAAACATTTTGTCTATTATTAGTGATTAGGTACATCTGATGGCACTAGACAAAAATTTCTACCAACGTAGATAATGGACAATAAAAATAAATCATAGATTTAACATAGACAACAGCCAAGAAGGTGTTTTGTAATTAACATTAGTGCAGAATTATTTTATATATTAGACGCTGAACAAGTCTTTTTATACCTCTATATATATTACGTTCTTAGATATTGGTTTTTATTTATTTATTCAGTTAGTAAGTTTTCAAAACAAATTTGATAAATAATCACTACCTACTTGCTATTTCAGTTCGAAAAAATCGCAACTCTGCGTGGTGATATTTCTATCAAGCACCAGTCAAAAGATATCCATTTTTATTTTTCAGAAAGTAATCTTCGTGAAAAATCGTCAATAATGGTTATAAAATACCTTATAGGAAACATTACATTCATAGGCAGTGATTATTTAAACCATAACATGCAAATAAAAAATTAACAATTGTAGATAAGATATGTAATGTTTAGGTATATTGAAAATAGACCTAAAATTATTTTTGTTCTAGTATTCAGATGACATTATTGATAAAATAAATAATATCAAACGAGAAATAATATTACCTACTTATGTAATCACACAGGGAAAGGTGGGAGCTGCATTTCAATATGGCAACAACCAATGCATGAATATAATGAAAGCTTAAGAAGTATGAGTCCCAGATTTTAACGTTATTAACGCCCCAGGCTTCACAAACGATTATGTCAACTCATTTCGTAATAAGTATTGAATTTTACTAATTGGAAAATAAATACAGTTTTCCGATCTTTTCATAGATATATTCCTATTTTTATTATATCTCGTTTCTTAACGTCTTTATAACAACACATTAATTTTTTCTATGACACAAATGCTTGACTACGATGTTGTGTACCACTAAACCTTCGGGATTACAATTTTCCTAAATAACAATGAAAATGGCATAAGTACACTAATATCTGATGTGTGGTTCATAAAAAGAAAGACTTAATTGACAGAAGCACTGACAGACTGACCTATATGATGATCACTACTTTTCTCTGTAAACTGTCTGCCGCCCCTGTGTGGCGTGTGTGTGAAAATGTAGCTATAAAACTTTTTACACCGCTGCCACCATCAAAATATGATGCGCCCTTGTTTCATTCACTATAGTGCAGTTTTCGCTTTATTCTGAATTGTAATTAGGAAACGTATTGTATTTTATAGTTGTTCTTTATTTAGTACTTTTTCTTGAGGAGAGAAAATCATCAAATTTTTATCTTCCAACCCTGGAGTGCGAGTGTCGGACTTACTGTCTGAAAATATATTAATAATTTAGATCATACATTAGTAATAACCAAAATACTATAAAGACTATTATAGTAAACAATGATAAGGCGACGTGTTATTTAATGATTTGTATTATTTAGACTTTAGTAACGTTTATTGTACCTAAAATACTTAATACAAAAATAATTCTAACTAAACTGAAGCGTCCAACTAAAATCACTGGGGCCATAAACCGATACAGAAGTAGGAACATGAAAAACGGTCTATAAATGAAAACTATTCTGAAAGAAAAGTTTTCCATGTTGTGTGTGCCACCTAAGAGCTGCTACAACATACAGAAGGGTCAATCGACTCTTTTTATTCCTTTGTATGCGAGATGAGTCTCTCATAACTCGTCGAACATTCAGAAGCCAGTTATTCAACGGCATGGGTAATTCGCACTGCTCCCGAACTAACGTTTCACAATTGTTATTTGTTATTAATTTCACGAACGATACGCCGGCTTTTAATGTTTTATAAATACGACGCATTGTTCTATAAGCGACACAATACCTTGCGGTGTTCGCGGCTCGGCTCGAATCCGATATGCAACTACATCGGCGTGCGGCGTCTGTCTGACGCATTCTTCTACATACGCAAAATGTGGAAATTATCGTTTTTCCGTTTCTATATGAACAAATTAAGACATAAACTTAATTTACAATGACTTATAAAAAAAAATATGTTTATTGTACAAATGTCATTTTAGACATCAAAACTCTAATTTACCAGACTTGAATTCATCACTGTAAAATACTGTATCTTCTTAAAATCGCATTATGGTTTTCTTAAAAAATACGTAATGGAATAAGTAACTCAGTGCTACTTTAGCAATGGGTAGAAGCACCTATAAAAGTATGTAGTGTGCATGTTTAGCTACCTACAACGTTAAGCGACGAATTCCAAGAAACCCGTATCGGGAGGCACGTACGCGTAAGATTGGCTAAATCTCAAGTGTTAAATGTTACAACATAATAACAATAATGTATACTGTATGTACTTTAAACAGAACTTTTGTTGCATTCTAGTACCTACTCCATTTGTAAGCAATTATAGAGTGGGCACAATAGTGGTTGGTTTCCACGAGTGGTGAGGATAAATAACATCACTAGTTAGTAGATCTTGGGTTTAAAATCTGCAATTAAACATAAATATAATTATGGTGTGATACACAAATAAAATTGGCAAAAGCGAAATATAATATTGGAGTTCAGCATAAAGTAGACGAACAATTATGTCAGGACATTCATTTCGATCATAACTGCTATGACAATAGTCCACGGTGGAATTCTGGGAATCATGATTAATAATTGTTCTGCATCTAAAACTAACAGAATGGGTGTTAGTCATCATAGTTATTAGGACTAATACGACACGTAGCCAAGCAGGGTTACTGTAACTAAGTACAAAGAATTTATAAAACAGTGCCCGCTGCCTTTGTATTACCTACTGCCGTTATATCTGATGTGTACCTACATTTGTATGATGATTTTTATTTTCTGTTCTTTCAATATCCATTTCTTGATACAAAAGAAACATTTAGGAATATATTATACCTATTTTCTATAACGGCTCATGACATACATAATGATATAATTAGGTATCTATAGAGGCAAGAGTAGATGCTCTAAATCGTAATTTAATTGCAATTGGTGAAATATTTGAACCGAATTGTATATCTTAATAATTTTCGTTTCACTATATCTGTAATTTTTTGCTTTAAATGGAATAATATTTTTTCTACGTAGGTGCTTCACCGTACGACAGTAGAATATGCCTTCAAGAAAGCAACTCGGATGCAGCAAGTTCTCAAAGTGTCAAGGGAGAAGAAGAACTATCACGAGTTTACCAAACGCTGTCTTTGCCAACTTTACCGAGAGAGGACAATAATTCTAATAACAGGTGGGTTTGAACGGGCCAGTTTTAGAAAGATAATTATATTACTTAATAAAAACGTATTTGCTCGAATTCTATATAATACCGATGTGACAAAATAAGTTTTTTTTTACAAAGTATCTGAAATATTGATTATAAATTATTTTGTGATATAGCCCGACTGAAACAAAGAGTAAATCTAAGTCAACAACTCCAGCTAGCCCAGGGAACTCTGAAATGAAGCCGCAGTCTACTACGCCGACGTCTCAAGCTCTTACTAAGCCTCCCTATTCCTACGTAGCTCTCATCACGATGGCAATCCAAAACAGCCAAACGAAACGTGCAACGCTGAGTGAAATATACGCTTACATCACCAAGGAATTTCCATTTTTTGAAAAGAATAAAAAGGGCTGGCAAAATTCGATTCGGCATAATTTAAGTTTAAATGAATGCTTTATAAAAGTTCCAAGAGAAGGTGGTGGTGAACGTAAGGGAAATTATTGGACTCTTGGTGAGTTTTCGTTTCATTTGTCAATAATGTTGGTCTTGTACTTAAGTTGATTGAGAATTATCTATTTCTTGTTGGCATAAATGCAATGCGAATTTGCCGTCTGCTCCGCGACCTTTCACAGTCATCTCATATTTCATACTTACATCAGAAAGCGAATTGCTGGCGTTGTGATCCTGCTCCGATGTTGATAGACTCTTTGGTCTTGAGTGTAGTATTGTTGTAGATCCTCAATGCGGAGAGATGTTCGAAAATGGTAACTTCAGACGCCGACGACGGATGAAGAGGCCGTTTCGAGCCACCCCTTACTCCAAGACACTGTTTGGAGACGGGTACCCCGTGGCACACGTTGGTCAACACGTACCACCTCACATGCAGCCTCTTCCACTTGGGGCTAGGAATTACTTCGGATCCGGTTCACCATACCATCCGCCTTCTTACCCGAGATATGATACGTGAGTTTCGCATATTAATTTTATTATTTTATAAGTCACAAATTCCTCTAAATAGAAGTTTGCAAAAAATTACGGACTTGACAAATTATTTGAAATGATAAACCAAACATATTAAAATAGCTATACTTTCTTTTTTTATTTGGTTGTAAAGTTAAGAGATGATCATTATATTGTTTTTAAAGTTCTTGTGGTATGGTAAATCCGATCTCTAATAATAATAATATAATTACCGCATCTATTGGGACCACTACCTATTTCTCAGGGTCTAATTTATGAATGAAGTAGATAGGACGGCTCAAATGTGCATGCCTGCCTCAAATGCAAATAGTCAAATTATAATTGTGATAAAGCGAGTACTGAATTCAAATGCAGTAGAAAGGTAGAGGATAATTTAAAAGGTTGTGAGAAATAGATACGAGTGAAGAATGATGTTCAAGGCAAAGGAGTTCGTGATAAGGTAGTGTCTGATAGAGGAGAATAAAAAACACATTACATAAAAAATACATACACATTATGACGACATCGTGTAGTTTGATATGAGAGTAGGATAAAGAAGTCGAAATTGTCACCATTTAAAACCTTCGGCATTGATCAATTTCAAGCGAGGACAAGTTAGCGCTATGACATTTTACATACATAAAATATTATTATAATCAATGTTTACGGTTCTCATACTAGTGTTTACAAAACACATGCTAATAAATTTACTGATATGTTTGCTAAAGAATTTTATTTCTTATTTCCTTGGCGGTTTCAATTAGACAGCTATCAATGAACGTTATAATCATGTTGGATGTTATGTAATTTACTAACTAAATAAAGCAATGATAAAAGTTTGGGAGACTTGATAACAAGTTTTCTAAAATTGTAAAGAAAGATTTAAAAATATCGCATAGTTGTAGATGCCGGAATTTTTTACATAGTTATGATTTGATTTTATATGACATTACAAACTTTAATTAAGAAATATTTCACCTGATAACTTTAGTTGACGTCGACAGATCGCTTTCAATGTGTTGTAAATTGGGTGAGAAACTTTATAAGTTTGTCTTGAAAATATAGAAAAATTGTATTACTTGTAGCTCGGAATTCATTTGTCGATTAATTACAAAAATATTTCTTCTAAGCTTTTAACTAAATATATTATGAGAGAAGGGAACTTTATTCACATTATATGTACTTAAAAAGGAAGAGGTTCTCAATTTAACCGTACTTACATTACGTACCATTACTTTACAGTAGTCTTTATAATCTACTAGCTTCTTCCCGCGACTTCGTACGCGTAATCTAATTTTTTCCCGTCCCCGTTCGTGATTTTCGGTAAAAAGTAAAAAAAAAATTGGTTAAAAAGTATCCTATGTCGGTCTCCTGGCTCTAAGCTACCGCCCTACCAATTTTCAGCCAAATTTATTCTGCCGTTCTTGAGTTATAAGTGGTGTAACTAACACGACTTTCTTTTATATATATACCTCTAGATAGTAGGTAAAAGAACTTTCTATACCTAGTCAGATCTAAATTTTGAACGGTTGGCTTAGTTACAAGCAGTCATGCTTAGTTACATAGGTCATATAGGAAAAAGATCATCGATATCCAACCTATTTCATTGTCATTTATTTATAAATCAACATACATAGATTAGATATCTGTCCTTTGTCACACTACCTATAGGTTAACAAAAATATATCTCATAGAACTCGCTCTTTTTTATTATGCCAAATGTAACTCCGTAGAACTCGAATCATAAATGGTTACTGGTACAATTGTGTTCTAATGGTAAAAACTCTGGTCTTACGTAGGAAGCCTTTGTTTAGGAGTATAACTCTTTTGGGTTGGTGATTCTTATACTTCTTTTATTCCTTTTTGGAGCATACATGACACATCCAAAAGTTTAATCTAAGATATCTCCAGTCAGCGGCTTTACCCGTATTACCAGAATAAAAAACATTAGATATATGTTATTACAGATTACCTAATGTTTGTGCCTAGCTTTTCCTTAGTAGTTTTGTCGGGATTTATAGTAGGTATAAGGTACAGTCTCCTAATAAGGTCCATCTTATTTCAAAACCTCGTATCTGATACAGATAAATAAAGTAGAGAAAAATCATATTGGAGGTTGTAATATATTTATTTGACAATCAAGATATCCAAAAAGTAGTTGGGTTGAAGAAATCTATTAGAAATACAAAATGAGAAACAAAACAATAACACTTACGTGTACTCGCTGTTAAATAGATTAAGTTGAGTTTTGAGTACTCGCTGTTAAATAGATGAATTAAGAATTTTTACGGTCTACAGCAAAAACATTTGTATAAACTTTGCTAATTTTTAAAAAGATTATGTTTTTTAAAACGGGTATCGTCTAACATGACCAAGTAAAATATCGTCTAAGTTTAAAATGGTGATGCGCCGGTAACAAAAAGCACTTGCACCACTTTTGTATAGGGTTTTAGCATAAACCTACGAAGTTTCAAATGTTTCAATAACCATAAATAGGTTTTTTAAAGTAAGCTATCTTAAGAAGCGTGCCATTTTTGGCGAACCTAGCTTATATGTACATACATACTAAACAGCGAATAAATGCATTTATTAGTTAAATGAAGTTTAATCACTATTCATTAATAATGGAATAGATTTACATCTTATACAATCTCATCATAATAGGTATAAAACTGCATATATAAATAATATAGATAAATGCGGGATTGGTACTTACTAATTAGATGAAAATTCAAATTTTGTAAGTTTATCAATTGCGGCTGTCCTTTAGATAAACAGTGTATCTTAGTAACGCGATATCGCAGTGTTGCCCGACTTTATAATAATAATAATAATTAAGAGTTGGTTTGTATACTATTTCGTAAAGAGCCATAGATGGACTGTTCGGTTTAAGCCTGCTGCGTCATTTCGCCGACACACGTACCAGAACATCATAGTTAACAGGCAATAACTGTGCGTTTTTCAAGAAATTCCCTGGCTCGCATAGCAATACTGTGAAATAAACTATCGCCGGCGGTATTTCCGAACCCATATGACCTTTAACCCTTCAAGAAAAGAGCGTATTACTTCTAAACGGAATGCATTTGTAAGTCCTTGGTCTTTGAATTTGTTTCAGGCGTAATGAATATCAAGCTTCAGATGCGAGTGTGATGGTACTTTTAACTAATAAAACTTTTTTACATTATTAATCACTTTAATAGGGCCGATATCAATACAAATGAAAATGTATTTCCGTTCGTTAGGCTGGCTAAAACTCGAGAACGGCCGTAGCGTATTGGCTAATTTAATTAAAATGTTCGTGGAAGTCCAGGGAAAGTTAAACGGTGAGAAAAAAATTTTAGGCGGTACGAAGTTTGAGCAAGTCGAGATTTGACATAATAATAACATAAAAATGATTATACATAGAGGTAGAATAATACATCACATGATTCGTATCCATGAGACATCGCATTCGATGAGACGTCAGGTGAATGCGTGTTAGCGATTTAAGAAGGTTTTTGTTTTTAAATTTTATATTGAGGATTTCAGTACATTTCACTTACTTTGCAGTAAGTAATGCATAAAGGGAAACTAAACAGACTAAGAAGTATGATACGTGCCAGGTTTTAACTCACATTTCTCATGGCACCGTGTAGTAGGGGCACAGTTACTTACTTTCTTCTACCATAAACTTTTTATCGTATAGTTTACTTACATAAAAATGTAATTTGACATAAAACACTAATATTTATTGTACCTATTACTGATTTCAATTTTAAATGAGACTTGCGGCCGCAAATTATGTTTAAAGTGACTTGTTGCTTGTAACGCTCACTGTTCCTAGTTAACACATGTTTAAGTGGTGTTTAAATATTTTCAGTACATGGTTGACGCAGTCACCGAGCGGGCTAGGGTACGCGGGCGCGTGCGGAAGTATGGGACGTAGTCCACCCGGGTGTTCGCCACACAGCGCGTTACCCCACCAGTCGTCGCCTGTCGCCGTCAATCCCTTTGCGACGCATCAAATTCAAGGACAGGTATTAAATCTAGACTGAACTTTTTCTAATATTATCTAAATATCTTCTTGTTTTTGATAAAAAATCTATCTGTCGGTCAGTTCTCTAGGGGAGTTATATATACAGTATACCGAAGACTACACATTTGGTACAGTAATTGAACTGTCTGTCTGTCTTTAAACCTTCCATAGCTCTATACCTACGATTATGCGGGATTCAGTTTGAAGTTTTACTGAAATACTTATAATGAAACAAATTATTTATAAACAAGTTTTGTAATGCTATTCTGAACTCCGATGGCGTGTTAAGAGGCTAATTTCATTTCAGTAATTAAATCGAGATTAAAATTTGAGTAGCGTATCAAAAAGCAGTAAAACCGTATGTTCGCAAATTGGCGCTATGACTGTTCAATAAACGCCTTTAACGGCGGAATAACTAAGAACACGAATACACATTAAAAAAGGCGATAGCTTCAACAAGTTTTAAAATAAAAAAAATATTAAATTCGCCACAAAATAAACTAAGAATTTCTAATTGGTAGTTTAATATATATCATATCTTCATATATTTTAAAATATCTATGGTTGCTACAATATATACCTAGCGGTGCATTGAATGTACTATGGATATAAGGTGTGTATACTTATATCTACATATACTTATAGCATAATATGAAAATAAAACACAAATTAAAATTTCCGTTCCCAGTGGAGAAAGGAATTACGCTATATAGAAAATATCATTTATTAAAATTATTTGGTAAAATAAATTTTGTGCACACTTATCTTTTTTTTTATGGCATAAGCCGGTAAACGAGTAGCCGGATCACCTGATGGTAAGCGATCGGCGTCGTCCATGGATACCTGGAACACCAGAGGCGTTACAAGTGCGTTACCGGCTTTTTGGGGATTAGGAGTTTGAGGATCGTTGGGGATTCAGGGATTGGGGAGATTGGGGCAGGGGAGGGTAATTGGGCCTCCGGTAACCTCACTCACACGACGACACAACGGAAGCGTTGCTTCACGTCGGTTTTCTGTGAGGCCGTGGTATCACTCCGGTGGAGCCGGACCATTTGTGCCGAAGCATTATCTCTGTAAACTAATATCATTAGTCTCTATCTCAGTAGTCTGATCTGACCTGCAGCTGTAACCAAATGCCATTTAGCGCTTGTCGACATGTAGAATAGAAAACTAAATTATATGGAATTGACGTAAATTTTGACACTTGTCAGTGTCATTCACATACATTTTGATTTCTACTCTCTCTGTATACAAGCGCTAAAGCGGCGTTTGGATAAAGGCCCTGTAACTTGTCAGTTTTTATAAAATCAAAAAAATATGGCTATTCTGGGTTCTCATCCTCGTCGTCGTCGTCGTGAGTTTTTTAATTATATGGTCTTCCTTCTTTTTCTATAATTATTGGCAAGAATATTAATATAGATAAAATTGAAAATATATTTTTTTGTTTCAGCTCCAGAGCCCTTTGCAACCTATGCAATCGATGTCCATGAATTCCTATAATGCCATTGGAGTCAGTGCCATAGGTAATCTTTTAGTTCTTCATTATCATATTAGAATATAGGACCCCCTTTTCCCAGTTTTAATATAAACTAGACTGGGTCTAGGTAGTAAAAGTTGGAGATGTCGATAATAGCAAAATAAATGTAATGCCCAAAAATATATGGAGCTAATAATCCAATTCTGAGCAATTATTTATGTACCTTTTTATTATTAGTAGTAATCTTGGAAACTCTTAAGTTGTGAATCGATATTATCATCCCTCTTATATGCTGCTTATCTGTTTGATTACGGTTTATATGAAACGAATACAGCATTTACGACCTGTAACTCAAGGTACGTAACGTAGTATTTAATTAATGCTTTTATTAAAAATTAACATTATCATTTTAATATTAAATAATAGTTCAAAATAACAATCACGGATTATATTTTGTTTGAACTCAAATATAGAACTTAGTCAAACTTGTTGAAATATAACTGTATTAATTGTATTATGTTTATAAATATTTTATACATTAAGAATGCAATGAAACTAAACTAATCTATATACAGATATATAGTTAAAATATATTATTATCAAAATAATTATAATGATAATATTATATACTATTTATATAAGTAGTATTTCACAATATTTATAGAGAATTTTAAATGATACTATAGTATCATTAACTATATTTCAACAAGTTTTGAAATATATAATGTTTGAGTCTGATAACAATCATAAGAGTCTTGAGACAGCTGTAACTGTCTTCCAAATTCTGTTTCAAACCAGCAAAGTTTGCTCTAAAACGGGTTCCACAGGTAAGACTGTGGATCCATTTTTCATACATTTTAAGTTACTACGCTACTTATCTTAGGTCTAGTCTATAAAAATGCATTTATTTTTATGAACTCTATACTTATTACTTTTTAGATGGTTCTCCGAGTCCAGGGCCAGGTTATGCCCCATCTGCTGGTGGCTTTTCACCCAACAGACATCATGACATAGTTACGTCATCTGATGCAGCTGTTACTCGATTTCCATTCTGGCCTGAAGGTAAATAGTAAATTATAGTAAAAATAATAATATCAAGAACCCTAAGACACATATTACATCAGCAGTTGTTACTAGATAAGTCGCATACTTAAGAAAGGATGAGGAAATGTTCGGAACACCAATATAAATGAAATGTGCAGAGATTTTTTTATCCACCATTTAAATATATATATATTTACATCCCGCTATCGATTGGACGTCCCATGAAGGCGAAAGTGCATTTAATCTGGCGTCCACCTGCTTGTGGCGTCCGCATACCGGACGCCACTTTTTTGGCCTATGCTACTTAGGTCCTTTTGGTCCTGGCTACACGTAGGTTAAAAATCGACAGAGGCCAAAAGATCGGTTCAATGGCTGTTATAGTATTTTGAAAAGTTCCCAAAGAAATCTCAGCGCAGATAGAGCGCTGCTGTAGCGCGTATATCCACAGCTGTATATTTTTGGGATTTTCTGATTACAAGTCCGCGTATTTGGCGTCCTCAAAAAAATAACAGCGACGTTGCCAGTTCGCTCATTAAATCCGTGGAAAAAGTTCATAATATTATTTACCGCATTCAAAACAATATTCATCGTCGTACATTTCGGATGTGTTGCGTATTATTTGGAGTCCGATTTTATTATAATCATGTGATTGCAACTTACGACAACTTATCTGCAACCCTGTTCTCAATTTGTAAATGAGTACCTATCAGTGATATATTATAATAGATGAGGGTATAAAAATGAATTCCTTAAAGGGATCTTAGAAATAAATACTAAAGTGACAAAATTATATGTCTTACCACAAAAAAAGTTAACCAGAGTTTAACTCGTATTAAATGTGTATTTAGATAGTATAGTCTCCGTATAAATTTTGACGTAATTTTATTAACTTTATCTATTTATGTGGTTAGAAGATGCATCTAACACTGAATAATTAATTAATGTTGTATTACTGATCAAATCAATCAACGTTTTTCTTATTTCTAGCCTTGGCGTGTTATAAAGATCCAATTAGGAATTATAAATGTTTTTGATTACAAAACATAAACACTTCATTAAAAGTGATATCCATATTTAACATAACATAACATCACGCCTTTTTCCCCGAAGGAGTAAGCAGAGATGCACATTACGGCACTTAATGCCACTGTACAATGTAATATCCACAGTTTTACTATTTATGTTATGAGTCCCATGTAATAGGGGGTGAGTTTATTGCCATATACCGGGCACACTTCCAGACTCTTGAAAAAACCCAGTAATACTTTACCCAACCCGGGAATGGAACCCGAGACTCTTTGCCAGGCGATCGCACTTGCGACCACTCGGCCAACGAGGCAGTAAAATGATATCCATATTCTTTGTTTTTATTTGCTTAATTAGAATTGGTAACTTCATATCAATAAGCTGCCAATTAAATATTTGATACAACTAATTGTATTCAGCTCTAAAGCTGGTTTCAAAGCTAGGGGATATGGGCAGCGCGGCTGAAGCGGGCTTCAACAACAGAGGCATCAGGCAACAATCCAATAGAGGAGTTAATCGAGTGGCCACAACTAGAAGTATTAAATTAGGAATCTTGCCTTAAATGAAATTGAAATTCAATACAATATTTGCGCACAAAGATCAGATTAGGTGCGGTCTTCAGTTCCTTAAGGTTTAGATTAAAATAAAAGTGTATCTCATAGATCATAATTTCTAGCGATAAAGTCCTCTACTGGGACCTCTACCTCTATGACAGTCGCGTCGCAATAAAACGATGCTAGAGCTCTCATCATCTCCAAGCGCGAGGCACTTCAGCAGCGCTGCCCAATCCTCTAGCTCTGAAACCAGCCTAAATGAAAGAAGTTTTGAACATATATACTTAATAAAACCATTCTAGTAATAAGATATATTCTTATTATCTTTTCTAATTACGGACGCCCAATAGCTATACGTGGACGTTCAATAGCTATATACGGACGCCCAATAGCTATATACAGACGTTCAATAGCTATACGGACGTCCAATAGCTATATACGAACGTTCAACAGCAATATACTGACGATCAATAGCTAGGTGATCTAACATGATACCTTTTTTGAGGGATAAAAAATCATCCAATGCCTTTTGCCGCCGGCCGCCGGCGGCCGCGCTGGTGAGGCAAGTGGAAGTTTCAGAGGAAGTTTCTCTTACTGACTTTTTTTTTAAGCGGGAAAATCATCGATTGACTGCTCCCGCCTGGGTAAGGCGGGAGGGAGTGTCACTCTTACTGACTAAAAACCACCCCGTTCCTTCTCCTGCACGTCCAGCCGGAGCCCCGGTTACCCGTTAGGTTCTCCGCGACTCCGACTCGGCATCGGCCCTGTTGGGCCCCATCTGTGGTGGTTTTATGGCTCTTTGAGGAGCACGCGGAACGCGACGCGCCGCACGTTCAGGTCTGTTTCTGGTCGGACGGGGAGCCACCCATGCTCGCCGTCCGCAGGCCCGCGCTTACGGTGGCCGGAGATCTTCCCGCGATCCCCGACGCCCGGTGTGTCCTTTGCGATGGCTGGGTTGCGAGGAGGCAGCGCTTCGCTGCCTCATGCGTCCTGCCTCCTCCTTAGCTAGTTTGACTGCTTCGCAAAAGGAGAGACAGCATCCCAGTCCCCCTCGCTCCGCATAATGGTCTGCACTAGGCCCGGACGCGAGAGGTCGCCATCGCCGATCACTTCCCTGAGGGTACGGCGGTGCTCAGCCCACGCAATGCATTCCGCTATAGTGTGTTCCACCGTGTCCTCAGGGCGGTCCTCACAGTGATGACACCCGGACGTTTCCTCCCGCCCCATCAGACACAGGTACCTTCCGACTCTTACTGACTTAAAACCACCCCGTTCCTATTCCTGCACTTCGAGTCGGAGCCCCGGTCACCCTTTAAGTCCTCTGTGGCTCCGTATGGGCATCAGCTCCACCCGTGGTGGTCTGATGGCTCCTTGGGGCGTATGCGGAACGCGACGCGCCGTACGTTCGGGTCTGGTTCTGATCGGGCGGCAAGTCATCCGTGCTCGCCGACCGCAGGCCCGTGCTTACGGTGGACGGAGACCGTTTCGCGATCCCCGACGCCTGGAGTGTCTCTCGTGACGGCTGGAGCGTGAGGAGGCTCGTTCCCTCACGAGCTCTGCCTCCTCCTTAGCTAGCAGGACTGCTTCGCAGAAGGAGGAGACGGCATCCCTGTCTCCCTCACTCTGTACCATGGTCTGAACCAGTGTCGGACGCGAGAGGTCGCTGTCGCCGATCACATTCCTGAGGACACGACGGTGTTCAGCCCACGCAGGGCACACTGCCACCGTATGCTCCACCGTGTCCCCCGGTGGCTCTCACCATGATGACACCTGAGCGTTTCCTCCCGCCCAATCCGAAGCAGGAACCTACCGAAAATTCCGTGTCCGGTAAGCACCTGCGTCAGGCGGTAGATAAGGACGCCGTAGCGTCTCTGTCTCTCAAGCCACTCCTCAAATCTAACATGACACCTGCTGAGGAAGTACGTGGATGTTCAATAGCTATATACGGACGCCCAATAGCTATATATGGACGTTCAATAGCTATATACGGACGCCCAATAGCTATATACGGACGTTCGATAGCTAAGTGATACCTGCTGAGGAAGAAACTTTCTTCGCACGCATGGCCATCGTCAGGCTCCGCAAGAGACCCCTGCCATTACCATGTCAATTGTCAGGATCCGCAATCAACGGACCTCCCATTTCCGTGTGTGAGCAGTATAGTGATATAGCTTTTTACTTGATGACCATAGCGTTTGGGTCAACTGAAATTTGCGTGACCATTTTTGAATTCCTAACGTAGCCCAGTAGATGGTGCTAGTCCAGCAGTGGACTTAAATAGGCTGATGATGATTAATAACTATATACGGACGCCCAATAACTAGATGATCTTTCACAGTTATAGATGATCTTACATGATGACCGCTGGGGAAGAAACTTTCACTTATTTTACTCTTGCTTACTTTGAAATAAAAATTGAGTTCTGTGTTTCTTTCTTTAGATAAATTTGTAAAACCGGTACGCCGCGCCGATCACATGCGGGCTGAACCGATTTGTATTTATGTATGGAATAGACTAGGCAAACATTAAAAAAATATGTTATTCCTACTGCGGCATCTTCTCATGTAAAAATCTCATAGAAACCTCAATTTTTTGCATCTTGTTACCAATATTATACCAATATCGGGCATTAGTATATGTATTGATAGATTTTACGAATATTGTAATACTGTTAAAACTCTGTCCCAGACGAGTGACAAGAGAGAGGAAAAGAAAGAGACAAGTGAACCCAAAGCTGGCAACGTTGCACTCGCAAATACCATCCACGCTGTGAGGACGTTAATTAGCCGAAGCCATGGTTAAATCACGTTCAATATATCTAGGAGCCCAATTAGTTATCACGATGGTTTGGGGTTCAAAAATGTTGCAGCATGACTGCAAGAAGAATATCGCGAAAAATAAAATTATCGGAAAATGACGTATCCTACAAAGCTGGAAATCGAATAACTAAGCAATATTCATTAAGACATATAAAAAAAATTAAGGGGAACCGGGGGACGTCATAATGATGCGCGACATGTGTGACGCCAAAACGATTCTAGGATGTAAATATATATATATATATATATATATATATACTAGCTTTTACTTGCGGCATCGCTCGCGTCACAAAAGGATAAAAAGTAGCCTATGTGACATATACCAATACACACAGCGCCATCTATACCAATAATTTCGTTTTCCCTCTAGAATATCACATTTTTCCGGGATAAAAAGTACCCTATTATTTTATCCAGACTTATAACTTTACGTCTGCGAAAATTCAAAGCAATCGGTTTAGTAGTTATGGCGTGAAAGTGGAACAAACAAACAAACTCACTTTCCGATTTATAATATTAGTAAGGATATACATATAATGTGTAAAGTTATTGTAAAAAAATACGTATGATAAAATATATATGCATATATTTAGTTTTCAGTCTAACGTTAAAATACGTA